CCTCCCAAAGGCGCGGGATTACAGGCTGAGCCACCGAGCCCGGCTTCTCTCTTTTTTTTTAAGTCAGGGTCTCATGATCACAGTTCACCACACCTTCTAGCTCCTGGGCTCAGGCAGTTCTTCTGCCTCTGCCTCCCAAGTAGCTAAGACTACAGGCATGTGCCACCACACCCAGCTAATTTTTTGATTTTTTTTTTGTAGAGATGAGGTCTCGCTATGTTGCCCAGGTTGATCTCAAACTCCTGGGCTAAAGCAGTCCTCCTGACTCAGTCTCCTAAACTGCTAGGATTACAGGCAAGAGCCACTATGCCCGGCCCCTTGATTTCCATGTTTAAAGATCACTTTGGCTGCCCTGTATGGAGAATGAATTATAAGAGGGCAGGGTGGAAGCAAGAGGACTGGCCCAGACCATTGTGGGGGTCTGGGCTAGAGACGCTGTGGTCAGAGTTGGTGCGGGGACACATCGGCCATCCAGGGAAGCGGACCAGTTAAGAAGACATTCTTTCTTAGCACAGTGCCAATAAGCATTCAATAATCAAATGCTTAGTCAATGTCAATAAATGTCCAGTGTTAGTATGATTTAGCCTAAGCGCTGCCTTGAGGTGCAGTTTATTATTCCACTTGACAAGCAAAGGGACTGAGGCTCAGAAAGGTGCTTGTCCAAGGTCACACAGTCAGCACATGGCAGAACAGGGACCTACCCCTGGGGCTTGGAGACCTAAGAATGTGCATGCTCTTTGGGTACTTCCTGCTGCCTCTGGCAATTTCCTGGGAGACGCTCCAGGCGCAGTTGCCTGGAGGGCTGTAGGCCTAAGAGGGTCAGGAACATCCCCCATGCAGCCCCTTTCTTTGGCCTTGGCCCCAACTTTTGCACAATGAGCTGTTGGGTCTGTGTCCAACACCATGCCCCCCGTTCCCCATCAGACCAATTCCTCAAAACCACAGCGATGACTGCTGGGAAAGGAGAAGTTTGTCTTTTCTTTTTTGTTTTTTGCTTTTTGTTATTTTTGAGTCGGAGTCTCACTCTGTCGCCCAGGCTGGAGTGCAGTGGCATGCTCATAGCCACTGTAGCCTTGACCTGCTGGACTCAGGTGATCCTTCTGCCTCAGCCTTCCACGTAGCTGGAACTACAGGTGTGTGCCACCACACCTGGCTACTCTTTCGATTGATTGTAGAGGTGAACTCTTGCCAAGTTTTCCAGCCTGGTCTTGAACCCATGAGCTCAGGTAATCCTTTCACTTCCACCTCCCAAAGTGCTGGGATTAGAGACATTAGCCACTGTGCCCAGCTGCTGCTGCTGCTGCTGTTTTTGTTCTTCCTCTTCCTCCTCTTCCTCTTCTTCTTTTTCTCCTCCTCCTCCTCCAAAAACCACATTGCCTGTCAGAGAAAAGGAGGGCCAGCGAGCCTGAAACTGATCCTGGCTGCCCCCACCTCTGGGACTTTTCTGTCTCTGGCTGCCAGGGCTCCCTAGTAGAGGTCATGATGGCTGTGTTGCAGGTCTCCAGCATTGTAGACCTCCACCAGACTGTGGGCCTGAGCACCCAGGAACCCGGTGACTTCTTCACCTACTCCAATTTTGACGGCATCTTGGGGCTGGCCTATCCTTCCCTCGCCTGCGAGTACTCAGTGCCCGTATTTGACAACATGATGCAACAGCACCTGGTGGCCCAAGACCTGTTCTCGGTCTACATGAGCAGGTAAGGGCTGTGCCCAGCCGGGGCCTGACCTTGGTGTCCTGGTGAGGACTGTCAGCTGAGGAGAGGGCTGGCCACTCTTGGGGCCACTGCCACTCCAGAGTAAACACCGGCATCCACACAAACCCTCTCCTCGTGTCCAGACACATCTGACCTCTTATCCCAAAGCCCCCAGTGTAGTCAGTTCTGCAGTCAGAGTTCACCAGGCCAGAATTTGACTTTCATTTCTGTCATTCAAAAAACAAAGCCCGATCCCATCTCTGAATGGAAGCTTTCCCCTTCTTTTTCCCAAAGTGTCTGGGCCTCAATAACCATTTGTTGATGTCATTGAGATTCACAGACTTTTAGAGGGAGGTCGATCTTCCCCCATGCATAGGGAGGAAACAGGCTTGGGGAGGGACAGCCACCCTGGGGAACTAGTGGTGGAGCTGGGCCTGGAGCCCACGACTCCTGCTCCCAGTCCATTACTCCCGTCTACACCTTCCCTACTCCCGACGATGATGCAGCTCAGCTCAGACAGAGGGCAGGTGGTGGGTGGGGAGAAGGGGCTGGGTGGCTGAGGCCAGGGATCCCAGACTAGGGGTAAATTGGTGCATTTATTCACCCATTTCTTCACTCAGTTGGTGAGTGCCCTTACTCCATGCAGGAGCTGTGCCAGAGATAAGCCTTCATTGGCAATAAGACACGGGAGGGGAATGGGCCAAGGTCTCAACGCAGCTATCCCCAGGGGGCGGAGTGGGGTGCCAGCTCACCGAGCCTCACTGAAACAACACACTTGGCGGTGGTTGCAGGAATGACCAGGGGAGCATGCTCACGCTGGGGGCCATCGACCCGTCCTACTACATGGGCTCCCTGCACTGGGTGCCCGTGACCGTGCAGGAATACTGGCAGTTCACCGTGGACAGGTAGGTATGCAGAAGCCCTGTGTGGGCCTCAGCCAGAGGTTGACTCCAGGTGTGGGGACATGGGAACTTGGGTGTCAGGCCACCGAGCTCTGAGGCCTGCAGCACAGCAGCTCGGAAGACCATCCCTCAGAATGTGAAGCAGATGCTTCTGAGGCCGGTCACCTTTGTCAGTGCTGATGGTGCGCTCTCACCCATGCTTTATGAGTAAGGCTAGCTGCGTGGATGGAGCGCTTACTACCCGCTAGACGCTGTGCTGGGCTCGTATATGACTGTCTCATTTATTCCTCACAGAAACCCCATGAGTTGGGTGCCACTATATCCCCATTTCACTAACACCGAGTTTCAACCTCATAGTCGTGAAGAAGTTAAGGAAGGGGTTGTTTGTGTACCCATTTTGTAGATGAGAAGCCAGAGTACACAAAGGCTGTACGAGAACGTGCCCAAGGCATGTGGCCAGTAAATGGCAGAGAGAAAACTTGAAACCAGAACTCAGGTAGCAAGCACAGCACTCATTCAACCCCTTAATGAACATACACTTGTTGTTTCATTGAAGTTTCTGTTCCATGGAAGGTGGATGTCCTCAGTGTAGCCACCGAGTCAGGAGAAAATAGTTTGGAGTCTTTTCTCTGGGCTCGGGACGTTTTGGGGCTTTAGGCGGGGGCCCAAGGGAAAGGGTCCAGGAGAGGTTGGGGTTCCCTCCTTGCCTGTGGATCCTGGCAGGGCTGATAGGAAGGGTCCAGGGAGGGAGGGTTGAATGCGCCTTGAGGCCACCCTGCTTACCCTCTGCAGTGTCACCGTCGATGGTGTCGTGGTGGCCTGTGATGGCGGCTGTCAGGCCATCCTGGACACGGGCACGTCCCTGCTGGTTGGGCCCAGCAGTGACATTTTCAACATCCAGCAGGTCATTGGAGCCACACAGGGCCAGTATGGTGAGGTAAGGTCAGGCCCTCACCCCACCTCCCAGGACACCCTGGAAGCGGGGGCCCCTTTCACATGGAAGAAATGAGACCAGGGTATGGGGGGGAGCCCTCTTCCCAGCCAAGGTGGGGATTTCTCTGGAGGCCTCCAGAAATCCACAGTGGCCCTTGCCTGTCACTGCCGTGGGAGTGCCCACACCTGGTGCAGTGGTGCAGTCTGACCTCCTGGTCCTCCGGGAGGGCTGTGTCTTCCCTGACGCGCTGGCCTTGTCCATGTCCCCTTGTTCCTCCTCCACCCATGAGTCCAGCCCTCTTCCTCCCTGACTGCAAAGTGCTCCCAGCTTCCTTGTGTGCTCGGGCTGGACCTGGAGGGGGAGACCCAGAGGCGAACCCCTCTGTGTCCCGAGCTGGGGTCTGTTCCCAGGTTGATGACAACGGGTGGCCCTCAGTGTGACTCCTTTGGGACCCCGCCTCATCCTGGGAGCCTTTCTGGGGTTCTCTGAGCAGGTGGCACCCCCTTCCCACCCTCTGGCTCACAGAATGCAGGAGTCCTGTGCGGACAGCCCTGTGTGCCCCTTCCAGTCAGGTGATCCCCCCATCCCTTCTAAGAGGACCCTCCTTGGCTCTTTAGTTTGACATCGACTGCGGGAAGCTGAGCAGTATGCCCACAGTTGTCTTCGAGATCAACGGCAGGAAGTACCCACTGCCACCCTCCGCCTACACCAGCCAGGTATGAGTCTCAGGAGAGGAGGCACTTCTGGGTGAGGCTGTGTTGCCCTCGGGGCTCATTTGTGGCCACTGCAGCCTCATCCTGGGAGAAATGGGGAACAGAAAGGTCAGCCCACAGAGGCTGGGAGAGGTGACAGAGGCGGTTCACAACTCCCCGAAGGAACCCATCAGCAACTCAGGTTTCTAAGCCCTGGACCTAGAGCTCTGTCCAGGGTTTTCTCTTTCTATCTTTTCCCCCCTTCCTCCCTTCCTTCTTCCTTCTTTCCTTTCTCTCTCTCTTTCTCTCTCTCTCCCCCCCCCTCCCTCACTCCCTCTTTCCCTCCCTGTCTTTCTAGATTTAGGGTCTCACTCTGTCACCCAGGCTCGAGTGCAGTGGCATAATCACCTCTCACCACCACCTCGACCTCCTGAGGCAATCTTCCAGGTTCAGCCTCCCAAGTAGCTGGGACTATAGGCACGTGCCACCACACCCAGCTAATTTTTAAATTTTTTGTAGCAACCGGGTCTGCCCAGGCTGGTGTCGAACCCCTGGGCTCAGGCAATTCTCTGGCCTCAGCCTCCCAAATTTCTGTGATTATAGGTGTGAGCCACCACACCTGGCCTGCATAGGGTTTTCTTAGCTAACCTGGGTTTTGTGGGGACCCCACCTCTGTCCCCCCGACTTGCTGGCTTTAGCGTTGACCTAACCCAGAGCACCCCAAATGGATGAGGCAGCCTGTCTCGGCCCCCAGGCCTGTTCTGGGTGGTCCTCAGGACAATAGGTGCCGACAGCAGGAAGCAGGGGACTGGGAGGACAAGTGAGGGGGGTGAGGTGAGTGCAGGGGACAGGGCTCAGTTCTCCAGGGCCCTACCAGGTGACCTTGGATTAAATCACTTCATGCTTAGAATCTCAGTTTCTTCATCTGCTACTTGTTTGCTTCCTTGGGAAGGAGGTTTTAATGATAAAATTAACTAAGAGAGAACAGAGGCGTTGAGGATCTGAAAATGCCCATCTTGAGGTCCCAGGAACGGGGTTGGCAAGTAGCTTCATCTCAGCCTCATCTTTCCAGGACCAAGGCTTCTGCACCAGCGGTTTCCAGGGTGACAATGATTCCCAGCAGTGGATCCTGGGGGATGTCTTCATCCGGGAGTACTACAGCGTCTTCGACAGGGCCAATAACCGCGTGGGGCTGGCCAAGGCTGTCTGATTGCATTCCGACCAGAAACTGTTCTGTCCCCAAACACGCACGCACACACACAGATCGGGTTTTCAGGCAGATGGTTACCAATAAACACATTTCTGCAAAACCCGCCCTCCCTCGCTGTCACTGGGGCTAAGCCTTGCACCTCAGCGGGAGTGGGATGTGACTGCCAGATGGTGCGTGGGCAGAGCCAGGGCTGTGGGGTGGGGGGAGGGGA